TGAAGCAGAATAAATCTAAGGGGGCATGATCCTGAAAATATTGGGAAAAATGAACTCAGAGGTCCCAATCTCAACCTCATTCTCCTGGGAGTGAAATCCTAGTTTCTATCAAAGATAATATGTGAAACTACTTCTGGTAGAAGCCCCTTAATTAAACCCCTTAAGAAAAAAAGAAAAGAGAGAGCGAGAAAATAAACCTTAACACCAAAATGCATTAGCTCAAGATTCTAGCTTGCTGGGCCAGAGTCACATATTTGGGAAGTAGTTGAAATAATGAAATGGAAATGGCTGTGATTCCCGCCAATCTTTCCTCTCAACCATGGCCTGAATTCTTAACCTCCCCCTGCACTAATATGCTGTTTTTTGAGACAGAGTCTCACTATGTCACCCTCCATAGAGTGCTGTGACATCATAGCTCACAGCAACCTCAAACTCTTGGGCTTGAGGGATTCTCTTGCCTCAGCCTCCCAAGAAGTAGTTGAGACTACCGGCGCCCACGACATCTGGTTGCAGTTGTCATTGTTGTTTAGTAGACCATGGCCGGGCTTGAACCTGCCAGCCTTGGTGTTTGTGGCCAGTGCTGTACTCACTGGCCTATGGGTGCCGGGCATCACCCTGTTTTTCTCAGTTTCAAATGCATTGTCCTAGAAAAGTGTATGACCTAGCAACAAATCCATTGACTAAATAAAAGGACCACCCAGAGTCAGCTTTCTGGACATGTTGCTGTCTTTGTTGCAGTTCCCAAGGACAGAGCTATGGACTTGGGATCAGACCTGGACTCTGCCATTGCGTCACATGTGACTATGAACAAGTTAGTCCCCGTCTCTTAGTCTTCATTTCCTACTTGTAAAATGAGGGAGTTTATTCGGATGATCTTTAAGGTCTCTTCTAGTACTAATAACTCTGTGACTTTTTTTTTCCACCTTCACTATTTCAGATGATCTGCCAAACAAATCCGAGAGATCAGGATCACCACCTCAGTGTTACTTTAGCTAACACTGAGGTCATGCTTACTCTGTACTAGACATGGTTCCAAGTACTTTACATGTATTAGCTCATTTATTTACCCAACATCTTTGTAAAGGAGGCACTATAATCAGCCTCATTTGAAGATGAAGAAACCAACGTACAAAGAGACTGTAGCTGCTTAAAAACAATGGCATATCAATGAGGGGAGGGTGACAGGGACTAGTTTCACATGTCCCTGCCCACCTCCATTGGTTAGCAACTGTTTAAAGGTCACATAATGAGTAAATGGTAGTGGAGTTCATACTTGGGCAGTAGGCTCCCAGGTCTGTGCTGGTAACCACAGTCCCTATTGCATCTTTTACAGATAAACTGTGATCCAGAGAGGTTAAGAGACTTGGATCACCTCGCTAGTGAGGGTTAAAGACACACTAGGACAGAGCCATCAGATTCCAAATCCACTGGAGAAGACTTAAGTCTCTAATCTGTTAACAAATTGCTTCACTACTCAGACTAATCTGGTGTGATGGATGTGTAATGTTTAGGAAAGGACAGTCAGTCTCTGAGGCAACCAGGTCCCTTGGGTCTGAGCAAAGAAATGCCCACTGCTTCTCAGGCCCAAACTCTGGCTTTCCCTGTATCTGCCTCGTCAGGCAATACTAATCAGACTCTCGGGCAGTGCTCTAAGCAGCCTCTATGCTCCAGCAATTGGCCCCCTTTGGGGGGAACTGACTTAATTAGCTTTTCTAACCATGGAAGAATACAGTCCCTTCACAGGGCTGTGGTTCTGGGTGTATTTTTTACGCTGTAAAGTTGCTTACACTGTCATGGATAATGACTATTTTTTCTGGTTAGTAACACCCACCTACCCCAGTACTACGATTTCAGACAGAGGTCCTCATAACCCCTGGATATTTTTATACCTATATATATTTTTTATTTTGAGACAGTTTTAAACTGTCACCCTCGGTAGAGTGCCGTGGCATCACAGCTCATAGCAACCTCAAACTCATGGGCTTAAGTGATTCTCTTGCCTCAGCCTCCCAAGTAGCTGGGACTAGAAGTGCCTGCTACAGCACCAGGCTATTTTTTTTGTTGCAATTGTTAGTGTTGTTTTAGCCGGCCAGATCGAGCCTGCCAGCCTTGGTGCATGTGGCTGGCGCTCTACCCACTGAGCTATGGGTGCCACCCAATATACCTATATTAAACAATATTTTCTCTCCTATTGAATATCCAGACAAAGAATGAATTTTTTTTCTTTCCTATTGAATATCCAGACAAGAATGAATACCATCAAATTCTTTAAACCCAGTTCAAGGGAGCCAGTTCAAGGGAACAAGCATCTTCACAGCAGGTGGAATCAAGAGTTAAATGTTACAGTGGCAAACTCTTCTACTGGGCACCAGACAACCACACCTGCTTATTGTTACTCGGCAATTCCCCAGCCCTGCTCTGTGACCTCGTTTCTGTTGAGTGGAAAGCAGCAGCTTCCAGCTGATCGCAGCATAATGTTCATCAGTCATGGTACAGGTGCAATTAGCCACCAAGGTTCAAGCTGCATGTGTTAGTGGCAACTTGTCCCAGATTTCATCTTTCTAAACAATCCAGGTAAATGAAGATCTGAAAAAAACCTCTTGACTTCTAAAGAGGAAAAAGTAGGCCAAAAGTGCAATACAGTATTATAGTTATTTACAGAATCTGTTTTAAATGCATGTGTATCTGTAAATACAAAGTGATTCGTGACTTCTTATTGTCTCCTCAGCCTGTAGCATCGCTAACTATAGACTGCTCCTCGGTCTGGAGCAGCAGTGGCATAGAGTGTACTGAATGACCACAGACTTGATGAACAATAAAAGTGGAAGGAAGATTAGAAAAGATTTTGACTAGGCTCCTATTTTCTAGAAGGAAGACTGAGGTCCAGGAAATGAGAGGAGATCTCCTAATCACTCTGAGAGTACATTAGTGATGTGGCCAGCTGTAGGTCTCAAATCACCTCTAAGAAGACATTCACCTATTTGAGAATCTACTATGGGCCTAGTAGATGGATAATCAATTATATGTAGTTAAATACAGATGAAAACAAATGATCCCTACCTACAAGGTTCCTATAATTTAATGGAGGTTCTGTTTCTAAAATATTTACTATTATTATATCCATTTGGCTGTCAAGGAAACACAGGCCTGAAAAAGGTAACATGCCCAAGACACCCACTAGCATCATTTGGAACCATCTCGGCCTGAGTCATGCTCTTTCAGATTTTTTCTTTAGATCGTCTCAGACGAGGGATAAATGGAGTGTTGGTAGTAACAGGCTCCCAAGGCTTCTTGGAGTTAATTAAACAACCTCATTTGGGCCATTGCTTTCACAACTGCTAGGTTACTAAAGCCTTAAAACATCCACAGAATGATATGGCCATCCTCCAGAACTGACTCTCCCACTCACATCACCTGCTCCTTCCTGTCTGCCCCCTCCCCCAGCTCCTTGCTTGGATATCAAGTTTCCTGGAGTATCTTAAGAAATATTTGTTTGACTTTGTTTGCCAACACTGGGGGCGGGGGGGGAGTGGAAAGAATTACAATAATCCATGTCCCAGGATCTCATTGATTTCAGATTCTCCATTCCAAACTTATACCGAATTACCTGCAGTAGCTGAAAATTTAGGTAGCAG